TTTACCATTAGTTGATTGTATCTGAGAATACCTCAGTTTTGGGTTGGTCTGTTTTACAGGTTTGAAGACTTAAGTTTCCTTGTGTTTCCCCTCTTTTTAACTAAACAAACCCTCAGAAGCTGGACTTTTCTAACTGTCTTAAAATTGTTATTGTTGTCTTCTAGACATTTTGTGGTTTGGGGTGTTTCTTTGTTTTGGTGGGTTTTTTGTTTGGTTGGTTTGGGTTGGGTTTTTTAAGCCTCAGCCAAAAAATGAGGAAGAAAAGAGGTGGGTGGGGTTTGAACTAGTGTATTTTTACGCAGTAACTTGTTTAATAATTGATGTTTTTGAAAATGTTAGTCAGATGATATGGTTAGCATTTTCACCCTTTCCCAAGTTCACCATACAAAGAGGTGATTTGGAAGTCAGCAGGATTAAGGAGGCAGGATAGGGGCAATAAGGGGTAAATAGAGGATTTTGGAGTGTCCTAAAGATCATGTGCCACCAATAATATAAATATTTTAATTGAAACACTGTAACCTCCAGCCCCTCAGCTCTCAAACACTTGTTTTTGCTCTCTGAGATCAGCAGAGTGGGTCCCTGCTCTGAAGAGGTAGAAATTTCCAGCTGAAAGGAGAGGTGCCATCTGTGGAAGCACTGTTGTGTGGGCTGGGAGAAGATTGCCTATGTGCTTCCTTCTTCCAGGATCAATTATACTTACAAAGCAAAATTAATTAATAACCCTAAACCAGAAGGTGCCTTTTTGGAGCTGAATGGAACATTATTACTGCTTCTGATACTTCACATAGGTTTGTTAATACACCCTGGGATTGTCTGTTCCTTTTTGTTGCAGGAAACATGTTGTTGACTCATATTCTGTGTATTATAGCTGTACTCTATTATGGCCTTTGTGGTGATGCACAGTGCGCACACAATAACATCAGAAATTTCAGCCATTAGCAGGTGTAAGGGGCTTGTTTTTCAATTTTATTAAATACCAGAATCTTAAGATGTCCTGAAAGCACTTAGAGCCTTCAGAGAACATATAGCATACAGACTCAGAGTATAGTGCTCTGCGTGCTAGAAATTTGTTTGCTACCAGATAGGGGAAAACCCCCAGCTTCCCTCTGTATGAACTAGCCTCTTCCTCAGTTATACTTAAAAGAAATTTGATCACTGCTGGTATTTTAATGTTGATTTTTTTCTTTTTTTTCTTTATTTTTCTGTAATTTGTTTCCATATTCTGATGCATGTATTTCAGATGGTCTGCATTAAAAAAACTGAAAGATTGATTGGATAATGTTAAGGTTTAATCAAGGTTAAAACACCTTAAACCTTATGTATTTTGTATTCGTTTCTAACATTCAAAAAATCATATCAAAAGGCAGTTTATATTCAAACACAAAACCACACCTAAATCTGCATCCTCACTAGGTCACTTTTTATGTACTGTCCTACTTTTGAGATACTTTGTATTGCAGCCATGCTTGAAGGCCTGCTGTTAGGCATTACCTACACAAATACTCCAAATGCCCAGACATCCAGACTGCATGTTCTTCTTGACTGCATGGCCATTGATTTTTGATCTTAAATGGGTCAAGCTTGGTGTTTACAGGTGAAAGGATTAAAAAGTGTTATAAACTAGGAGGAATTGCACTGAGGAAAAGACAAAGATGAATAGGTGTGCTTGACTGGGGCTATGAGTGGGTGTTACAAGAAATAAGGGGGTGAGAGGTAGAGAATTACATGGGAAGAGGAAATACTACAGTAATAAAAGATGGCCAGCCTGCTCATTTGAGTTGATCATATTTGTGTTAGAGAGTTTCATGGTTAAAGCCACAGAAAGCATATACTTTTTGTAAATCAATACGATGGTCATTAGCATTAGCAGTCAATGGTAAGTATTTGACAGCTTTCTTGGGATTTCAGAACATCTCTTGTTGATTCTGTATTTTAACAGTTCATAATGTAGCAGAACCATGTACTTCTCCCAGGAATAAAATTTTACACTCTGCCCTGTATATAAAGGTGGGGTGAGGGTGTATGTGTGCATGCACAGCCAATTTATTAATTTAGGCGAGGTTGATAAGCAAAATTGCTGCTTCTGTATTACTGCTGCCTGGCAAATTCCAGATCCCTGAAAGACATTCTAGGTGCATGATGGGAATAGGAACCAAGAATGCCATCTCTTCATGTATTTCCTCGTTTGTTTTTAATGGAAACTACAAAATTAATTAATATTTAGTTTGTGAATGATTAAGAGTGTCAGTGAGAGATACTGACCAACACAGCATGTCTGTTTTCCGTTAAGATGAAGGCTAAAGTCATTAGGTGGTTGTGCCAGAAAAGTGGAAGGAGCACTTGGCGATGACTGGTGTTACAACTGCTGCTCCTTGCGCAGTCAGACTGTTAAACTTCAGTTCTCCTGTAACAGTGGTTGCTGTCTGTGAATCAGTTATGGCTCAGTCTTTATGGAAAACAGCCCACTGGCAGGTAAGCTATTCCTGAGTCATGAAGAGTGGGAAAATGTATGTGCTTTAGGTGGTGCTGATGGTAGAAAGGAATGTACAGGCTATCTATAATCGCTTTTTGCCTCCTCTGTGCTGCCCTTTTCCATTGTCTTGAGTTAAATCCCATCTTCACTTAAGAGATTGTGCTCAGGAGAGAGAAATCTGGGAAGAAGTCATGGTATGAACACATATTCTATCCAATGAGATACTGTTCATTTAGTCTCCTTTTCAGGAGCAGCATTTTACATACACACATCCATGTATTTTTAGTTTATTACACTCAACAAAACTTTGTATTTCAAGCTAGACTAATTGGTCTGCATCCCCATGCAAACCTGGTTTTTACCTTAGCTCCTTATGCTCTTAGATGTACAACAGTGCTAACAGTATCTGAAATGCTTGTGATAAGTGAAGCACAACACATGCCCACTTTTAACCAATCTGTCATAATCTGTCTGAAGCTACAAAATGGTGAGATGTTAGTGCCTTGAGTAATAAAAACCTTGCACTGGGGAGAAGAAAGGGGATTGTTTTAACACTGTACTTCCTGTATTAATTTTCTTCATAGAATGGACTTTGCCTCACTTGTTCTTGCTAAATAAATAATTTATGGTCTGTAGTCTACAGGTAATGACAAGAAATTCTGCTTTGTTCTCTTCTGGTTTAGGTTACATGAGGTAGAGAATTAAATGTAAATAATATCTTGTTCTTCTGATTTATTTTTTTTTTTTGTTGTGCATGTTTTGCTGTATTAAAATGTGTAATCCTTTTAGGAAGCTGCTTTAGCCAGGATTTCACATGACAGTTTGGCGTTACAGACCATGCAGGCCGCCTGAAGCCAGGGATCACGAGAAGTGACTTGAACATGAAAAATTTCCAAATTCCATGTAGCGTTTCAAATCAAGAGTTCCCTGGTGTTTTAGTCCTTTGTTCTGTTGCTTTTGGAGGAGATAGGTGCTTTAAAGAGTTTCTCTGTGGTACTAAAGTTGACCTCTGCTTCTATTGTTTAATAGCATTTTCAGCTTTATGCAAGATCTAACCTTACTAAGTCTCTCTTAAGTTCTTTGGCTTTTTGAATCTTAAAACCACAGGAGATTCCACACCTTCTGCTTTTAACTTTGATGTTGTGCTTTTTGTATGTAGGTGCATATTTCAAATTCCTCTAAAATTGAGTATTATTTGAGAAGTGGCAAGATAACTGAGTGACATAAAGCTTTAAAAATTCTGTATTTTGAAGTAACTTTAGCTGGAAGCTTTCTTGGGAATATGCTTGCAGTTTCAAAGCAAGTTTAGGAGTTCCTTTTTCACCTTTGTTTGCCATGGCAACAAACTGTGTAGTTGACGGAAGACCATCCATCTTGTAAAATATTCTGGTTCTCCTGCCTTGCATGGTTGCTTCCACTGTCTCTAATTTTGGTTTCCTTGGCTCTAAAGGTTATGAATGTTAAGAATGTTACCTATTTATTGATTACAGCTTACAAAATTTATATAAAATCTGTTTTAAATACTAGGAGAAAAGTGTTGCTGGCTAGATGGGAACAGTAGTCTTTGGTGCTGGCTAATTTTGTTTGGTTGTGGGTGTTTGGGTTTTGTTTGTTTGTCGGTTTGGGTTTTTTTTTTAACTTTGTGTGTATCCTACTAATGAGCAGAAACTTTCATATCCCCTTGCAATATGAATAGGATCTAACACCATATATTTCTGCAAGAACTGTAACACAATAGGAGCAGATTTGTAGAGCAGAACAGTTAGCACTAAGGACCTGGTACCTACGCTGCATGTGTTTGGGCTAGCCGTATTCTGGTCCCATGGACTGAATGGTGACTGCTGGTTTAAGTGCACTAGTTTTGTGCCTGGAGCACAAGTTTCAGTTTCATCTGAAAGAATCAAGTTTGCTCACTGTACTATGCAGCATGAGTTATGTCAAGAAAAGCAGGCTGTCCTGATGCAAAATGAAACATTAACACTGACACAGCCTACCTGTATTGCAATTTCACCTATAGAGCCATGGATTTTTTTTATGTAAATTGAAATTGCTTCTGGTTTCAGTGCTGAAAGCCTGCAGGTTGAATGGTTGTGTCAGCCATGATGATGACCACCACATATAAACGAGATTGTTAATATAGCCTAATGGTAGCTTATTAGTGTCTCTACTTAAAGAGGCAAAATAAGACACTTCAATTGCTTGTTTGTAATAGTCGAGACTCTTTAGCCATTAACAGCATTTTACTAATTTCCTTAGGAGTAAAAGTTTTGAAATTGTGATGATTTTTGTTGGCTTTAAGTAAAGCTTTTTGGTCAAACATGTGAGCTGTGTAAAATAAGGTGGCACTAAATTTCTTTACAAAACTCACTACGGAGTTGTCCCTAGCAACATAATGATTAATTGCAGAATTATAGAGCTAAACAAGTGAAGAACAAAAGTATTACCCTACTAGTGTATTTGGATCTGGTTTTATGCTAACCTTTGAAAACCTTTTCTAATGGTTGCAGGTGACACTTCCTGATTCAGCATGGACCGCTTTGAAGATCTATCAGATGAAGTGGATCATGCTTTCTTTGACAGTGATTTTGAGGAAGAGAAAAAGAAAGCTGAAGAAAATGGTGAATGCATAAAGAAGGAAAGTATGATGACAGCTCATACAGATCCCAACTTGGTTTCTATTTCAAAGAATGCAAAGTGTAATGAGGAGGAAAGTGAAGAAAAGCAGAAAGATTTTCAGAAGCATCAGTCCCTAAAAAGTAGCACAGGTTGTCTTGAAGATGCTTCATTTTTGTCACTTTCTCTAGTTGCAGAGAACGCAGGTGCATCTGGAATGACATCTGCATTAAGCAGTGGAATACTAGAGAATGTTCCTGCTGGAATCCCCAAGATAGTTAAAGAAGGTGAAGAAGATTATTATACAGATGAAGAAGATAGTAGTGATGATGACAAAAAACAGAAGGTTAGACCAAAGTCAGCTAAGCAGTCAAACAACATAAAAAAGGCTAGCAAAAAATATACTAATATCAGCTTCTCCTCCTCTTCCTCGTCTTCCTCCTCCTCATCTTCCTCTTCCTCATCCTCAAGCTCAGATACAGATGGTTCTGATACAGATTCTGATAGCTGCTTATCAGATTCATCTCATTCTTCCTCAAAGAGGAATGCTTGTAGAAATGCTCTTCTGTCTCCAAAACAAAAATGCGAGTCAGCAATGAAATTACTAGAAGAAAAACCAAAGCTGGTTGACTACATGGAGGAGTCTGAAGATACAGTGACTGATGTAACACCTCTGTCCACTCCAGACATCAGTCCCATCCAGTCTTTTGAACTTGCAGCATCAAATGATAAGAAACTTAAAGTAAAAAGACAGGAAAATGTGAACCAAGAATTACATGGTAATTTTGGAGAATTAAAGTACAACACAAATTTTTTTAAGCCTCTGTGGCTGGGAAATCCAATCTTATACCTGTATTTTTTTCATTAGATTCCGAGTTTGATCGCAGATGTAGTCAGAAAGTCTTGCATGATGCCATGGACCTGAATCAGCTTTTGAAAGGTGACTTCAAAATTTTCTTTGTAAAAAGTGTGATGTCTGTACATTGTTGAGAGCAATTGAGTTCTAATAGAGGCGAATGAGATTTTAATGTGCCACACGTATTTTGAAACTGGTTTGTGATTAAGCTGTGTTGATCTAATTCTTTGAAATCTTACATATGTAAGCAGTACTGATTCTACAGAGGAAAGAATGAGCATGTGTATAAGCATGTGTTGTTATGCATGTACCTAGAAGTAAGATATACAGATGGGCTGAATCTCAAAATAAGATTTGATATATTAACAAATTTTATGATAAACCAGCATATGCCTTTTGAGAAATCAAGATTTACTGGATTTACACCAACCTTTCTGATAAAAAGCTGGGTCATTAACCTTCAAAATTGAAAAGCAATTTAAAACTACACTGGATGGTAAGTAACATTCATTTATTTAAACTTGTGGTACCTTTTTGATAATTAAATTGAATTATTTGAAATTCTTTTTCTGAACTAAGTATCTGCTTTCTAAAATACCATGAAGTTAAGTAAAGATATTTTAAAGAGGAAAAATAGCAGATAATCTTCAGTAAAACTTGAAAGGTTGCTTCTTGCCAATAGATTAAATAAATCTTAATAATGAAGTCTGAGAGAGAGAAGTTGGAATCTCTTTCATTTCATTCATTGTAAGCATTCATTATGGGATGACAATGCACTGGATGATCTCACATGTGTATTTTAAGGTCTACACAGTGCTTTTGTACTTTTTTCCATGCCCCAGAGTTTTCAGTAGTAAAATCTATAGAGGAAGAGAGGCTTGGGTCAGGAAATCTGCTGATCTCAGGTGAGGAAAGCTTCTCACAGTGTAAGCCTGGTACATTTCAACCCAAGTTTGCTATATTGCTGTAGGTCATGGCACACTAAAAGTTTTTCAAGTATGTTGTATGCATCATTTAATTTATGAGTAGAAATGAGGAATTTACTTGTATGAAAAGAAAACCGTATTTCTGCTGGTATGGAAAGAAAACCTTACTTCTGCTGGTAAGAAAAGCAGAGCTACCCATTGAGAAAGGTAGAGCTGATTCTCATCTCTTGACAGTCCTTGTACTAGAAAAGGCTTTAACCACTTATCGAAACATAATGTTTGAGTTGTTGCTAGGCAATTGAAATTATGTCATCTTACATCTTTATTTGTACCCTGATACCAAGAAGCTATTTAATAACTAGTGATTATGAAAGGATTCATTTCATCCCTAAAAGAAATGAGTATTATAGCTCAGAGTATTCTCAGAGGTGAATCTCTGTTGGGAGTGTGTTTGTTTTTTTCCTAAAACTTAAAAAAAAATAAATTAAAAAAATAAAATAAAATTGAGCAATGAACTAGAATTCGTATCGCCTGGCAGTTAATGTTCCTGGTTAGCGTGCATATTACTCCCAAGTGCCTCTCTAAGTTGGCAAGCACAACATAACTTAATTACTTTGGGTATTTTGAAATTTAAATGGGGCAGGATTATTAATGGTGGAAAGTAACTAGGCTAGGAAAATAGGAGCTAATATTATTCTGAGTTATTGCTACCAGGTTTTTCCATACTCATTAAAAAAAAAAATATAAAATGCAAATCATTCCCTACCCCTCCCAGTCTGCATTAAATGTTCCTCAGAACTGCACAGGCATAAATAATGCTTTGAGCAAAACAGTGTAAGCTCAGACCTGAGTTCATGAGAGAGTATTTAAATGATTGTTAGTGTGTCTCAAATTTGGTTTTAAAGTATCATATTCTTCCAGTAATCTGTACAGATGGAGCATTTAATTTAAAGTTTTTTGTCAAATATGCTTGTAACATAGCTGGGCCTAAGCAGTTACAGGAGTTATGTGAGTTTAATTTCCCAACACCTCCAGAAACCTGTAGAGTTTCAATGTGATCTGTAAGTGCATTGTTTCTAGGGGACAATTTGTACAATTCTGTGCACTGGTAATGTGAACACTTGTCAAGACTAGAATCTCTTGTATTAAAAAGAATCACAAGAATAAAGAAAGGGAAGAAATCTGTTAAAAGCACATGGTATTCAAAGAACAAATTTGGGACTAGGACAAGAGCCTGGTTATTACATAGCAAGAAAGTTTGTGTTTCTTGAAATAGAATTAATTTGAAGCATTTAGAAAAAATGTTACAGTATTATATTCCTTTGATACATATTTGTGCTTATATTGCAAACTATTAATTTTTATAAACATTTAAAAAAATATTTAGATTTAAAAAATTATCATGTCCTTACAACTCCTAAAGCTATGCTTGTTCTTGATAGAAGCCAAATTTTAAGTTATGCTGTGCTGAATGATTTTGAATCTCACAAATAACATCATTTTAGTTGGAAATCTCACAGTCTCTGTGCTGTGTAGTGCACTTTGAATGCTTTTTAGGTGGGTATGGCTGTGCAGCTTTAGCACTGATTTTAGGAATAGTCTAAATATTGGCCAAACCAGAATATTGGTTGAGACCAGAAGTCTGAACAAGAGATTAAAAAAGATATGTGGTAACACTTGGTTACTACATCAGTAACAGTGAGCGTTACCAGCTCTATAACTTGCAGTGCAGCCTATTTGCCCGATGGAAAATAACTGAACTAGTTTTAGTCAAAATGGCAGAGCACTCTTGAGAGGAGATGCAGCAAGAAGGAAGACTGGTTATAAACATACACAGGGGAGAAATTGTGGAGCCCAGGTACCCATAAGCTACCACGCTAAGGTACGGAGTGCACACTCACACTATTTCAGTTGTAAGGAGCCTGCAGTTTGCAGTGGGAATGCTATTGCTCAAAACTGCAGGCCATAATGAAAGCAGAGATAGTGCAGGGTGGATGGGTAAATTTGGAACTTTTTGAATTGATCTCTGTTGTTTGTTTCCAAATCAGGGCCATGGCAGTGTCTGATGCTCACTTCAGAGTGGCTTGGAGTTCAGGTACTCTTTGCAGTACCCTTTCTGAGGAGCAGAGCCTCCTCTACTTGCTCGTATTGAAGCCCCGTGGCTGCAGAACTAAAACCAGCCTGGGTGATGTTACAATCTAGGTCTACCTGGACCATGTTGCTACTGGGCTTAGTGGTTACTTGTTAATTATTCCTGCATTGTGCATTCTTGGCTGTATCTCTGGTGCTGTTTTGGTAGCTGTGAACTGCTAAATTGTTTAATTGTTCTTGCTAGTGGTTTCTAGTTCTGTTCATGAAAATCACTTGCTGTTTGGGTAGCATACTTATTTAAAATGTGTATAACTGCTAAATATGTGATGCTTGAGTCCTCTCATATTTACAGACATGAAGTCAATGCTTAGCAGGCTTACATAATTTCCTTGTAATGCTGAGACTGATGTCATGTAGCTGTTGTCATTATGGTGTATGACTGTAAGAACTATTGTAGCACTGGCAAGTCAGACAGACATGCTAATTAGGAATTTAAGTATCTTATCAGTGTGGTCAAGAACATAGGTACTTGGAATTTCAGTTACTCAAGGTTAGTAGGGTTTATATTTTAAATAGATAAACCTTAACCTGATTTTTTGCCACCCACTTGGAAAAAATACAGGTGTGATTCTAACTTTTCAGATAGGAACACAGTTCTTCAGTTGTTTCATGATGTTACATAGATTTTTGTATGCAAGTCTTTTGTGAGTCACTGCTGTTTCCACTTTGCTATAAATCTTAAAGATATTTCAGAAAATCAATAACTTAAGAGCAGTATTCAGAACCCATAATAATAAATGTCAGAGTTATCTCGTCTGCTGTACTCTTGACTAATCTGAACACAGAGAATTAAATATGTCAAAACTGGTTTTGAAAGTACATTCATAAAGCTCCATGTTACAAAGCTGGGAATGAAAAATTTGAAAATATTCTGATGCTGTTTTGCTTGATCCCATGTCTTGATCCAACGTTCCATGTAATTTTAAGGAATTGAGGTTATGCAGATAAAGAGGTGGGTTAAGCATATGAGTGTGAACTAAGCACTTATCCATTTCCATCCCATTATGCTACAGACTTGCTCTCTGCCTTTAGACAAGTCTCTTGATTTCTGTAGTTCAGAATACAGAGTTGTATGCTAAAAATGCTGCATATCTTTATCCAAATTTATGTTGGGTATCAATACAATAGTAATGAGATTGCACAAGTTACATAGAGTGCTAAAGACTTCAGCACTTTGTGTTTTCTTCTCTGTAAAATGGGGTTGATACCTGCTTATTTTACAGAAGTGTCTGTGAGAATTAGTCTGTAAATCCATGGTATTAACTATTATTAACTTGAGGAGGTGGTGCGATGGGGTAAGTAGGACAATGGGCCACAGGCTGAGGGCCTGAATTGTATCCTTGAAGCTCTCATTGACCTGTATGCTCCCCGATAAATCTTTTTGCCTCTTCTGTGCTTCAGGTGTTCTACTGTAAAGCAGTCAGAGCTAACTTGGTAAACAGCACTGTGATATAAATACAATTATTATGAAAGTAAAAGCTGTGTCTTTCTGAATAAAAGCTATTGTAGAAAACTAAATAGCAGCTTCAACTGAACATAAAGCAATTGTTGGATTTTTTTTTTTTTCCCCCCCTAAAATCTGTCACTCAGGAAATAGAAGTTTTTTTATAACTGAAATTTTGTCCTCTTGGAGATACGTTATCTCTGTGCTCATTCATGCTGAACTAGTGGATTTGTAGAATAACTGTGAAACAATATCTAAATTTAAAGTAGACTAATATATAGATAACAGTTGAACTAAACATGTAGGTTTTAGTTAGTATGTTCATAGTTTGAACTAACTGTGTGTGTATGCGTATACATACGCATAATTTTTGCAGGTCTAGTAACTCATGTTGAGGTAGAAGAGCGATTATCATCTTATTCTTTATATTTAGAGTTTGAAATCAGATTGCAAATCTTTCAGGTTGTAAAGAGATCCACACTTTTCCAACATCCGTAAGAAAACATGGTGGTTGGGGGAAGAAAAGTCATGCACATGTAAAGTATCTGTTGTCTTTCTGATGA